ATTCTTTGCTCAGCAGCTCTAAATGCCACATTGGAAGAAAGGATAAGAAGTATCAGTACTCCTTCAGAAATAAATAAATAAATAAATAAATAAATAAATGGAAGACTACATTGGTTAAAACTTTCTTTAAGGCATGGTATAATACCAGACCTGGATCAAAATTCTGTGTTGTGCCAGTCACCCTGCTGGCTGTAAAGTCTACTGGCAGGCTTTTGGATAAGAACATCAGAGTTGGCATGCTTCTATATCAATGTTTTTAAAACTTGGCAACTTTAAGATGTGTGGACTTCAACTCCCAGAATTCCCCAGTTAGCATGCTGGAGAATCTTTGCCATGAGTGCAAAGATCACAAAAAAAACCCCTCCGGGATATGTTTAGAAGCATATTCATCCAATCAAGTGAAACCAGAGCTGCAGTGAAATGTGCAAAAGCGCTCTCCCCCAAAGTTTAATAGAAAATACCAAACACCCCAGTAGAGCACCAACAGCCCCTTATCAGGCTGTGCTTTGTATCACCACACACTATTTGTGCAATATGCAGACATTAGCGAGTGATGGCAATGACTCAGTCCTACAAACACATCCAGGTAAAGATACAGATCAAATGAACTGGAAGCCTAGTGCACAGAAAACCCAAGTTGGGAAATGATTAGGAATCAGATGCTTACTACCTTGCCTGAACTGTACAAATGTTTGTATCTTATTTAGCCTCCATAGCATCCGGTTTCAAGAAACAGACCCCTGGCTCTACTCCATAAACCAGCTCATCTAATACTAGCATTTAAACTGATGTAGACTGAAAGCTCATAAATAGACTGAAAACTTTATATCTAAGAACTGGATCTATTTCACTGGGTTCAAGAAACCTGTACCTATAGCTCTTGCAGTTGGTAGCATATTATCATTAATCTGCAGGAGATGGGAGAACTGGATTGCAAATAATTTTAAATTAAAATCAATATGTTCAAAAGTAAACCATTCCAGCTTAAAAAATACACAGAATGAACTGGCCAGGATTTGATTTGTACCCCCCCCCCAAAAAACTCCAAATTTTTAATTTCAGAATTGTTAAACTCTGCAGGCGCTCAAGATGAGTTTTTAAGACGCACTATACCTCATGTTGGGCTGCAGCCTCAGGGTCAAGAAACAATTCCCTGCTCTATGCTTGTAAATCCTTCTCTATACTAAAAGGGATAGAAAAGGGATGCATATATTTTGCTTCTGTGAAGTACAATGTTCTACAATCAGCTAGTAGAAACAATGAAACTTGATCAAAGTTGGGGGACTCCTCAACATGATAAGAAATGGGACGGTGAAGTTTAGCCCAGAAAGCAATTTTTATGTTCAGCTTAAGCTTCTATACAACTTGTGAACATTGCACTGAAGGCAAACAATCATGAAGAATTCATGATTACCACATTGACATTTATTATGCCGTGGCACTGGATTTACCATGCATCAATTTCTGTAAGCTGTATTTTGATCCACACATGGGAGGTTATATTCTGAATTTGAGATGCAAAATGTCAATGCTGACAAGCAAACATAGGCTTGCATTTGCAGGGAATACTAAACATTTGATTAAATAATAATAGGCAAGCAATTCCTCCTAGGGTTTTTTTTAACAACTATTTCACAAATGATAAAAAAGAATGTAACTATTGCAAGGATTTCAGCTGAATTAAGCACCAATGCACTGTTTTAGAGTTGCTTTCATGCTTTATTACATAGGGTTGTCACTGCTGCACTGCACTTGCAATTTATGCAAGAGAGTGAGTAGCATGGTCTTTTGTCCCCAGAATTAACAGTCTTGTCTAGGAGAATTTCTAGTAAATGTTCAGTGCCCTTTTTAGCACCTAAGCTATTTATGTTTTCCAGTTCCAGAAACAATGGATATTGAATTATTGAACTTGCAGCACTTTTTCCATTCAATTGTAGTATCCCTTATATCACTTGCATGTGTGGGTGAGGAAATATGTGAGTTCTTGTTGACTCATGTTTGCCTTATGTTGTCATAGCACATAGATATACTTGTTTGTATATTTAATCGGTGCCCAAGTTTTCTCTAGAAATCCTGAGCATCTATCAACATGTCTCAACAAAATGGTGACAGCTTCCTAACTATTTGTGTAGTGTGTTTTGGGGATTTGAATTATTTTGTCAATAAGTATTTTAAATAGATTTACAGACTGACTATTATAGTGTAGCTATTTATCAAACATTTTCTTACAACTCCATATCCCTCAATTAAATATCACCCAAACACATAATGTTTGGGAATCATCTTGGTGTAATAATGGTATGATATACTTCAAATGCTTCTAATAAACTTTTATCCTAATGGTTAAACATTTATAAGTAACCAGCTGCCCTTCAGATTTTTGGATTACAATTCTCAGAATCCCTGAACATTGACAATGTTCCCTGAAGCTTATAATTGTTCTTTAGAAAAGCCCACTGGCTATGTGATTTTGCTATGCAAAATCATCATTTGATTTTAAATTAATGTATAACTACCAATAGAATATATGTATATGAGAATAACTATGACTATCTGTTTTTTTTTAATTTAAATATCTAAAGCTACTTAGAATTCTTACCACCTATGAACAAGTATTGAAATAATTTTCTTTGGAGGATATTAGAGAGTTGTTGTGGTTTTAAACTTTTTAAAAAGCCTTTTAGCTATCCTGACTGTGATGTTAAAAAAGGAATGGAGCTGTTCATTTACACTCAGTGAATTAACACATGCAGATTACTTTTTTCTAGAATACTTAAGAATAAATGTATCTTTTCTAAACATGTATTCTGGATTGAGCTTTTCTTCCTCTCCACCCTTGCCACCAGCATGCCTAAAACCTTGCAAGCATACGCGCCCAAACAAGCAGTTTCTGCATTATACACACGTGTTTGGACATTTCTGCACCAGACTCCCTGCTCCTGTCCCATGTCTTCTTTCAATGCATCCAAGACCCATATGTCCTGACTGAGCAGAGCTGATAATAGCTATTCAGCTGTCTGTAGTGGCCAGTCCGGTTACAATCAGGACAGATAAGGGCTCAGCTGTCAAAATTAACTAGGAAGCAATATCAAGGGGGCATTTATGACATATCAGTTTTGCAATTAAGTAGGCTCACTCTTAGTTCTTGTGATACACTTTACTGATGAAGTTAATTAATACTTCCACTTTTAAAATAAGTTTGGTTTTCACTCATCTAGAAGCCTTTAGTAGATAGGAACCTATTGTCAATATCATAAGAGAAACGATTTCTTAACTGAAAAGTGTAACAAAATCCGGGAGAGAGGGAGAGAGAAACTGAATAAGCTGCTAATGAGTACACATCTTCGTAGTTTGAGGCAAGATACTACGATAGTACTGAGGTTGTTATTTAATTTTTCCATAACCAGACCATACAGCAGGTTTCCAACCCTGATATTCTCTGCTCGGTGTTGGATTACAACTCCCATCATTCCCAGCCAAAAGGCCTATGCTGCCTAGTGATGATCAGCATATAGTCTAACTCTGGTGCTTATGTCAGGGAAGGCTGCCGTCAACCATCTAAAAGCTCCAGGATGGACAGAAACCTAACAGGTGAAGCTTTCTTCCCTGATCTCATCCTTACAGTATTGGACTTCAGAGACGGAAAAGAAAGACCGCTCAATCCCGAAAAGCGCTCAAACTGCCCCTTCCCAACCAACGGTTTAGGCGGGGCTCCTGGACTTCTCTCACCGGGGCTTGCCGTCCTGCCTTGGGGGGCTGAGAGAGGAGGGGAGGGGGCGGCGGCGGCCAAGGGCTGCGCCCCTTTACCTGAGAAGTCAGCCAGCGCGGCGCTCTCTTTGGTCCAGACCAGGAGCAGGCAAAAGAGGCGAGGGAGCAGCAGCCGCCGGGGCGCTACCTGGCGCCGGCTCGCGCTCTGCCCAGCCCCCAGTTCGCTCATGGTGCGGCGGCGATCCAGGCAGCCCAATCTGGTCACATGACGGCTCCAGCCAAGAGAGTCCCTGTCCTTCCCAGGACTGCGGCGGCCGGGGGAGGCAAGCTCCGCGAGGGAGAGGGAGGCGAAGGAAAGGGGCGGGAACCGGCGGGAAGAGGAAAGCGGCGCGGAGGCTTTGCCCAGCTCCCACACACTTTCCCCGAAGAGGAAATCCCGGCGAGGTCCAGCCCGCGGCGCCGCTGCTTGAGCGCCGGCGGAGGGCAGCCGGGAAGCCAGGAAACCCTTCCAAAAGCCGGCGGGACTGCCGGCGCGTCCTGGGGAGGAGCCGGCGCAGCCCTGGCCGGGCGGCTGGCTAGCTAGCTCGGTGTTGATCGCCGCGCGGTGACTCTCCGCTTCCGCGCCCCGTTAGGATGCCTTGACCCCTTCCTGGCCAGTTTCCTTCGAGGTTGCCGGTCGTTCTTGTCACCCTGACCGCCTCGTGGGTCGTCGTCGACGACTTCGTTTTTCCTGCGCTACTTGCTTTTTAAGGCCGCTTGCTTGGAAAAGACCTGATGCTGCTCTGGGGCAGGATGGGCTCCGGGCTGATTTTCGGCCATGCTCACGCTAAAGCCTTCCGCCCGCAACTGCTCCTGAATTGGCGCACCCACCCCTTGATGCGCTGCCTCGTTATTGCTGGTGCCGCCGCCGCCTCGTGTGCGTTGGCGGGGGCGCCGGACTGTCATCCCGTAAGGCATCGACGGGGCTGAGGCGATTCAATAGACGTGGATAGGATAACCCTGCAAGTGAACGTAGGAAGGAAAGAAAAAAGAAACTGTCTTATCCCTCCACCCACCCCTTATTCTCGATCACGATGTCCAAATTCTCTGCACGCTTTAAGTAGTGGGGCTATAATTATGGTGTTAGCTTCTTACAGGAAGACTGTAAGGAGTGTCAGTGAACACAGCTTTTCTAAACTGTCCCATGGCCACAGCCTCTTCCACCTGTTGCCCTCCAAAAATAATGAACAATATTTCCCACTGAATTCAATTGGGATGGTCGTGCTCTTTGAGGAATATGGAAGTTGTAGCCAAATATATCTGGAGGCATGTACTGTTTATACATTAAATAATTAGTTAAAAGAAAAATACATTTCTTGGAGAGATTGCAAGGGCATTCACCACAATTTTTCCTCTGGAGAAGAAATATCAATTTCAATACTCTTCCATTCGGTCTCCTGAAATAGTTAAATGAATGTGCCCTATGGATCGTAACATGTCAGGAAGCTCAGAAGCCAAAATGAAGCATTGGATGCTATTTGCCGATGAAATGGTATAATAAGCATCAGCTAATGGCACCTTGATTTCATAAAACTCTATGTAGGGATTAATGTTATAAATAGATTGCAACCTCTTGGGCTTACCTCCTATGTACATAGTGTTAATTCCTGCTTCTTAAATAGTAATGTGGTATATAAAAATTCCAACAATTCCTATCTACATTAATCAATATTATGCACTTTGGAAGGGATTATAGTACAGGTAGAGGAAGGTCAGTGGTATTTATAATGATACAGATGTTTTTGCAAAATCCAACAAAAGGTAATAGTTTTTGCCCATAATTTTACTGATTCTTTTATGAGTTATGTTAATAAAAGTGTGTCTTTATAATGATGTTCTTTTTATTTCGGCTTTCATGTGTTAATATTTGAAGGAGCTCCAAATGGTTGTGGGTAATATGGAATGGTATGCACCTCTGACCCAATCCCCAATGACATATGTACCAAGTTCACAGATCAAGGAAAGGCTGAATCATAATGTTGTTTGTTTGCTTTTGGCTTTGCATCTTAAAGTTTTATTATATCAAAGTAATATATGCACATCACTATTGACAATATGATAGAATCTCAAAATTAATGATAAAGTTGAATTAAACAATCTAATTCAAACATTTGCAACATGTATCAGTAATCTATTGCTGCATATCAGGTGTAGATTTCTCCTTCCAGTGCTGTGTCATAATTTCTATTAGCCAGGTGATAAGTCCACAGTTTTTGGTAGATTTCTGATAATAGTGAGAGTTAAAAGGAACTCATTCATTTTTAACATACAACAATCTATCCAGAATCAAATTAATCCTGTTGATTTCAGCACCAAATGTGGCAGTAATAAAGCAAATCCACACCATATGAGTTAATATCTTAATTCCCGAATTGCATGTTGAATGGCAAGATGATTGGGACCTCACAGAATATTTAATAAAAGCTGATTGCTATCTATAAACCTCTACCTTGAGGTTTGTAAGATCATTAAGGTTATCATTGTGTGAACCCAGCCAAAGTGGGCAGGTTAGCTTTTTAGTAGTTTAGCATGTTGTACAAACCCAGCCTGTTTGGTTAGTTTATGGTTCAGTGCATTGTGTGAATTTAAAAAATTGGTAAATTCAAAACTAAATTAAGTGTGCTGTATGAATGCAGCCTTAGACTACCTGCAGTCCTGAACCCTGTGAAATTAATTTGGATGTGTGAACAATATCCATCAGGAGGTGACATGGCTCCATTTCCTGTATTGCATGGAGTCATGTGATTAATACAGGAAGGAAACCTGTGGTCCAGCCTTTTCTTTTTTAACACTAGTTTATATTCCACTTTGTGTAGTTGTGGCCTTTAAGAAGCAAACTGCTTGGGCTTAAGTGTCAGTTCAAATGCTTTTTATGTTTGTGTCATGCCATCAGTTTTATAATTGTGCTTTTCACTGATAGCATCTTCTGAAAGCATTCTGATGCCATATTTGAAGAATTTTTTAAAGCAACCTTGTTTAAGCTTTCCCAGTTCAACCACTGACCAAGGCAGGCTTAAAAGGAAAGTGATCTTCTGTCCCTCAGTTTCACTCTATAAAACATGATATCGAAGTCCTCACAACTGTCAAGAACCCAGAATGCCTCATTTGTACAATATCTTTTTCTGAAAAAACAGAAACAGAAAGTTCAGTATACTGGCAATGCCCCTATCAATCCAAAGAGTTGATGACTTTTTAGTTTTCTATATATTTTAACTGGGGCATTTTTAAAATTTCTGGTGCTTTATTTTGTTGAAGCATGAAGTTATTATTTTTATTAATGATTTTAAATTGCTTTATTTCTTGTGGTGAACCATCTTAAGACTTTTTATTTAAAAAATAAAAACAGGATTTTTCCTATACAAAAAGTTTACAGCTGGGCATATTAATCATGACAGTAGCACTACTTTAAATTGCAGGGGTCCCTGACTCTAAGATTGCTAATGTGCTGCCAAGTTTCTAAACATCTCAGCCGCCTCTTTCTCAGATACATTTGTTGGTCTGTATCCTCTTAAAGACAGAAAAGAAGTTTTTCTTCTTAGCACATTATAAAGCACTTTATTTCCTGCACTTAGACATTAAAAGAAATCTCCAAAGGGTTTTAATTGCTTTGATGCTATCTCTAGCTCTGTTTCTTTAGAAATAAATATTGGACTAATTGAAGTAAAGTAAGCAATTTAAAATAATCACTATATGACCTATATTTGCAGTTAGCCTCTATTTTGATGGGAATGAACATGACATTCCAACTACCAACAATTTTCTTGTATATTGCAGTTCAGTTAATAAAACATTATTTTTTATATGTGAGCAATCCATCTGCTTCTTCAAAGCCACCTTATACAGTACCTCCAGTTTAGTTTCTCCTTTCAGCCAGTTTCTCTGAGGCAGGAATAAGATGGGTGACATCTTTGGGTCTTCCCCAACCTGGTGCCTTCTGGGTGGGTTGGATGTCAACTCGCATGCTGTTTGTGAATGTAGGCTATTTTATTCATTCATTCATTCTGCTACAATCATTACAGCTTTTGGCAATGTACAAATACAACAATAATTTCAGTAATAATAAAACTCCAAAATCAAAACAGCATATGGCATTCCAGTGGCATTGCCTAATTAGTTAAAAAAGTACCCTGAAATAGTTTTGCTTTAACTTGCTTCTGGAAGGTCAACAGAACTGAGGCAGCTTGGGGACCATAACAAAACAACAACTCTTCCAGACTTCTCTCTAATTTCTCTATAGTGTGGAATTACAAGCAATTTTTCCCAAAATGCTTGCATTGGATAGGTTGACTCTAGCTGTAGTAGACAGTCCTGGAGATGCCAGCCCCAAGCCATATAAGGTTTTATAGGTTAAAATTATCAGATTTAATTGCACCAAATTAACTAATCTATTAAGTGATTTAATAGAAATCTACTGATAGCCAATGCAGGGCCCATTGCACCAATATGACATGTTCAAGGCATCTTGTGCCAAGTTAGCACATGAACTGCTATATTTTTTATCAACTACATTTTGTGGGTGGTCTTTACAGCTAGCCCCATATTGCAAGATCTTCTCACTTGCCACTGCCTTCATCTGCCTATCTAACAGTAGCCATGAGTCTAGGAAGACCCTAAATCATTGACCTACTCCCTCAGGGGCAGTGCTACCCCTTCAGGAGATAACACCAGAGCTGACAGACAAATTTTAGGTTTTCTTTATAGGAGCTCCTCACTTAAAATAACTGTTTTCTTCTCTCCAAGACTGCTTTCTAAAGAGCAATCAACTCTATTCATTTCAACTCTTATGGGTAGGGTTGGGGACTGCAAATAATGTGAGTCAAAGTTCCGGAGAAGTTTTTGTACAGTGTTCACTATTTGGCAATTATGGCTAGATGCCCTGTATACCATTAAAGTAGCACTCTACCATTTAAGCCTATCATCGACAGTTTACCTGTCATACCTAGACAACCTCAATCTTTGTTACTGACTGCATGACATTGTCCTTATCTTGTCCTAATTTATTAGTTTAAAAGTCTCAACTTTCCATTTTCTCCTGTTAAGCTGGCTCTGTTCCACTACAACTTCAACATGTAAAACTTGTAATGCTTTGCCACTTACTATCTTGGGGATGAGACCAAGTGACCTGTTGTAGGCATGTTGGGGAAAATGGGCATGCTTCCTCTTCTTTGAGGTAGTCTTCACTGCAGTCACTTTTTTCCTAGGATTTTGCCCCCCCCATTAATACTTTGTTTTTCAAGTTCCTTTCATACCTGTTATCCCCTGCCTCACTATTTCTAGAAAAAATATATATTTCCAGGCTCTAAATAAGGTAGAGGAGAAAAGATGTCCACTACTGTATATGGTCTATTTTTGCCATTTCAATACTCACTTTTCAGCTATTTGGTTGTTAGTGGTACTTATTTTTTTCCCCAGTAGGACCTAGGTATCAGGTATGTGACAAGTGCTTCAGACTTTGCATAAAAGTAAGAGAAAGTCCTTGAGATGAAGGTCAGAGAGTGTCCTATAGCCCATTCTGCTAGAGGAGCCAGATAACAGGGTGTTCATTCAAGGTAGTACTAACAAGGTGTTCAGAATGGAAAGTTAGGGAGGCCCTGTACTGGGGTGGAAGGATGGGAGCTAAAGAGGTCTGCTGGGAGACTGGGAAAAGATTGAAGTAATTATGGCCAAAGGAAGACATAACAGAGAACAGCAGATAGACTATCATAGAGGAAGGAGATTGGATTGGATATTTGGTTCCAATCCCCTCTTTGGTCCCTCAGCTTCAGCCTGAAGTCCTGGATGCCAAATTGTTGGAGACCTTGGTTGCAGGGTAGTTCTTCTGAATGCCATATGATCCTGCTTCATAATTTAGTGGTGGAGGAGAGGGCAGGCCTAGCATATATTACCAATCTTTGGCTATGCAAAGATGGAACAGTGCCTCTATCTCAGATCTGCTTAGCCAGGTTTCAGGGAGAACATCAGGTTTGACATTAAGACTGGGAAAGATGAGTGGCGATGTTAGACTTACAGCTATTACTAAGCTATGTTGGGAGGTGAATACTTTAAGATGGTTTGCCCTATGTGACTTATGGATTCCCCTGACTTCCAGTGGGAACTTGGTAAGTTTTCTAGCAGTTGAATGGGCAGTTCTATTGAGCATCCGGTCAAGCGGTTGTTGCCAAATGTGGTAACAACAAAGGTGCTTGAGAGGATTGCTCTTGAGTTGTCTCTCCCACCCATTCAGATGAAGCACCTGAAGATTTGCCTGGGATGACACTAATGAAAAATGAAGAGCAACGATGATCAGACACAGGGATGGGCTCAGATACAAGCCGGTGCTGTGGCAGTAATAATGGCAAAATGTCAGTACCACAAATTGTTATCTGGCAGTGCTATTCAATGTGACCCATTCCCTGTGGGCACTTCTGAGCTGGAAAACCCTTCTATATGGATTACTGTAATGTGCTCTATATGGGTCTGTCCTTGAAGAGCATCTGGAAGTTGTAGCTGGTGTAAAATGCAGTGGCACAGGCAGTTATGTGCACTCTTGAACAGCGCATGTTACACCTCTGGGCCATGAGCTGCATTGGCTACCAGTATGCTTCTGGGTTCAATTCAAGGTGCTGGTAATGACCTATAAAATTTGATGGGCCTGGACTACTTGAGGGACTGCCTTTTCCTGATTACATCTACTCATCCCATCAGGTCCTGCAGGAGAGGCATGCTGTGGGTCCTGTCTATGAAGGAGTGTCATGTAAAGGGACCCAGAAAGCCTTTTCTGCCATGGTACCCACCCTTTGGAACATCATTCACCCGGAGCTTAGATTACCCCTGACCCTACTGGCCTTTAGGAAGGCCCTGAAAACATGACTATGCCATTGTGCTTGGCGGTCTGGTGGCAGCAGAGAGCCTTTTCAATGTTTGTGTTCTGTGAGGTACTGACTGGTGGTTGCCGCTGATTCTAGTTATTTCTCTGTTTTTAATGCTGTTTTTATTGATGGTTTCTTTGTTTATAAGTTTTTTATTAATGGTTTTGTGGTTTGGGTATTGTTTTAATTGTTGTGAGCCACCCAGAGTCACTGAGGTGAGATGGGTGGCTATACAAATTGAATGAATGAATGAATGAATGAATGAATAAATAAATAAATAAATAAATAAATAAATGCTGATGAGAGCAGTTCTCTAGATATTTTATAGACAAAATCATTCATATCCACTCAGAGTTGCTGGAGGGGCAGATCTCATGAAATAACAGAGGTAATTTCTTGCAAGTTCACGACACTGAGGAAGTAGACAAGGTCCTCTGTGGGTGATGCTGCTAGGCTTGAAAAAGGCAATAATGTGCCCTCTTCTGGACAAGCCACCACTCGACTCAACCACAAATAATTGCTATTGTGCCATTGGTTCCCTTTTTATGGAAAACTGTAAAGAAGAACTGCAGCAGCTACAGAGGGCTGTGGATGAAGCAGACTATCTGGATCCCTTCCAATCAGAATTTAGGCCTGCATATGGGGTGGAAGCTGCATTAGTCACTCTTATGGATGCCTTGCAGTATGACCTGAATGGCAGTGGGTGCATCTCTCCCAGTCCTATTAGATCTTTCAGCAGCTTTTGATGCCATCAACCATCATATCCTTTTGGACTCCCTGGGATGTCTGGGAATCAGAGGCATTATTTTGCAGTGGGATCAGAGGCATTATTTTGCACCAGATCAGGATGGCCTACTCTCTTAACATTTAGGAAGGCAGTTAAAACTGCTCTTCCACAGGGCTACTGTGAGGACCTCAATTAGATAAGCAGCAGTACAACTATTTTCTGAGGTTGTACTTCTTTTTAATTGGTTCATTTCTTATTACACTTTTATTATTGTAAACTTTTATTATTGTAAAGGCCACAGAGACAAAGACTTAGAGGCCAAACAGGCAAATGATTGCATAAAAATGAATTAACTAATAATAGGAATTGGCAATGAGGAGAGCAAATTCTATGTCTGTATTATTTTGTGATGACTCAAGGAAAGTTAGATAGCACGTTAACTTTAATGGAAAAAGCCCTTAGAGACAAACTGTTTCTTCCATTAAATAAATTTTCCTAAGTTTCCTGATTTCACGCTGGCTTCGGTTATTGGAAGCTTAAATTAAATCTAATTAAATATTACTATTTTATAATAAACTACAGAATAGATACCTATTATAAAACAAAGTGAAGAAAAAATGGAAATAGTATATTAAATTACCTAAAAAAAATCAAAAGGGAAATAATCCTACATCAGACTAAAAAATAAAGATAACAAATCTCCAAATATCTAACTTCTCTCTCTCTCTCTACACACACACACACATTTAAAGATAGATAGATACCTATAGATGGGTAGATATGTAGATACAGAGATATCAAACTACTAAGAATATATTCCTTTCTTCAATTTTTTTTAAGTTGTGATACAATTTTTTTTATAAACAACAAATTGAACCTAGACCATATGGGATCATATTGTCCTGTCTTGCTTCTCCATTGATACAAAGCTAATTCAAAGACTGAGAGTTGACAGATTTAATTAAGCCATCATTTCGAATTAGGAATACAGACGTTCTTCCATGAGTATATACTCACGTTTTTGCCATAGTCCAAACATGATAAAGCCAAAGTTCTTCATAGATTGAAAAATTCTAGATTTTGGAGATATAATTTAACAAAACATTGACATATTTAACCCTTAATTGCCTTTGAAGGACTGATTGATTGGCTAGATATTATTACTACGATTGACCATAGTAATAATATCTAGCCAATATAGAATTACAGGTGGACATGCCATTTTAAAATGGCTTCAAATTTATTATATTTACAGCATAAAAATGGGAGCCAACCTTTTTAATACTGTACATTCTCTGAGAAGTCCAATAGCTGATTGAGGGTAATGATTCCATTATGAGCCCATGTTTTTCAGAAAAATATGTTACCAGCTATTTTCAAATAAGAATTACTCAAGAATATTAGTTTCTCATGAAAATAAAAATAAAAATTTAATTTTATACCCAATAAGGCCAGATATCTCTAATTGCTTTCAGTGTTGGAACAGTAACCAAGTTCTTGTACAAGTATCATGCTAAGGAAAAACTATATGAATTAGATCAATATAAATATCTTGTTAAGTCATAATTAACTGAATAGAATATAATTGATTCGGTTCCCACTAGCCTATAAACAATGGCTTGCAAAACATAGTGTCTAGGTTCACACAATCTGCTAAGCCAAATAAAGAATAGTACTGCCACTTAAATCAGTGGGATATTAAACTTAGACTGAATCATCCTAATAAATGTGCATCCATTTATTGAGATAAGTAAACTCAGGATAATAGATACTCTAGTACAAATCTTTCAGTTACATATTGTTTCATAAAATAAATGTGATAAGTCATTAAGCTGTGCAGTGAGAATGACAATTATGATCAGTAAAGATCTGATGTTAGAAGGCACATCACATGAAACCTGCCATATGTGAATGTGTATATAGTTACTTCAATAAAATTGGGTAAGTATCTGGAACTCAAGTAATTTTCAGGCTTTCAAATAGCCATTACAAATAGTTAATTCTGAACTCTGAATTTGTCTGTAATTAATTACACTTTGGATCAGTGTTTCTCAACCTTGGCAACTTTAAGACCTGCGGACTTCGGCTCCCAGAATTCCCCAACCAATCATCCCAGGGAATTCTGGGAGTTGAAGTCCACATATCTTAAAGTTGCCAAGTTTGAAAAACACTGCTTTAGGCGAAGATCTTTGATTTCTCTCCTCCCCATATAATTAAAAACAAGTATTTATTTATTTTTCTTTAATTTCAAAGTCGAATGGAACGAAAGTAGTTTTTCCTCAGACATACAGATTTGATTTAATGGGTGCAGAACTAGAAACCTCAGCTTGCGAACATTTAATCTTATAATATATATTGAGGTTGCAATAAATTACGTCATCTTTTGCTTCTCTGGACAGCAAGATGACCCCGGCCTTCGCCGCTGCCCCACGGAGCTCACCCTTGAGCGCCTGCTTTACTTAGGCTAGGAACCCATCTCAGTCGTAGTTTCGCGGGGGAAGAATAGGCGAGCCGGACTACTTCCGGCCGAGACGGGCAAGCCAAGCTTTCCTCCGCTTCGCCGGGCGTCACGGCGAGCCGTGATTGTCCCTGGGTATGGGCGCCAAACGCAAAAGCCCGGCCTCGGCCAAGCGGCAGGACCTGCCCCCGGCAAAGCGGGCCCGCAGTACCGATGCCGCGGAATTCACCGGCGCCCAGTTCAAGTTCCTCCTCCGCGACCCCGGCGCTGAGATGAAAGGTGAGCCAGCCAGCGAGCCACGCCGTTTTCACGAGGCCCACATGCTGACCAGGCCCAGTCGAGCTGGTCTTCCCTCCGCGGCGAAGAGCTGTGTAGCTGCCGCAGCTGTATGTTGCTGATACGCGGAGCTGAATATGTAACGCAAATTAAGTTGTCTGTAATAAATGTGTTATCGGCAACTCCGTTGTGCCCAGAACCTAGAGACAAGCTTAAAAGGGATTTTCTCTCCTTCGGTCCTGAGGAAAAGGATTGTTCAGTTGTACAACGATTATGAATTCTTCGTAGAGGGATCTGTTACGGCGAGTTAAAATTGATAGACTATTACATATAAGAGGGATTATAGAATGGAGTGCGCGGGTGTGGGAGGGTTACCTTTATTAAACCTGGAAGGCAGGTAATCAGAAGATTAACTATAATTAAATAACTTATAGTTATTATAGATTTTCCCAGTTTTTGCAGCTGGATCATTGGTATCATGGCATAGTCTTAATAGAGGTTGCTCCTACATTCTTCTAACGCACATTGCCAACTTTTTCTCCTTTGCTCCTACTATGACATTTATTTTGTCAGCCTGCATTTGAGGGTTTTTTAAACATCTTATTTCCCAAAGGCTGTATTGATAAGATATTAATGATAGCAATAAGGAAAGAAACCAGAGTCACTTTCCAACTCTGCTATGGAGAAATGAGGCAGTTATTAAGTTGGGAGCCTGAAATGCAAATTGGTACTTGAATAAAACTGATTTACCTATTTGGCATGCCAATTATAGTTTGTTGAAGTAAAGAATAGCATGCCCAGGATGAGTTGAAAGAAGAATCAAATGTATGTTTTGTTCCAGGTTTGGAAATGTTCATAGCCAAAGCTAAATTACTGCCATCAAATGAACAATATGATGTAGTGGAAGGATACATAAAAGTTTCTATTGAATGTGTAGAAATTTTTAAACTACTGGATGGTGAAAGGCGTCCTGAAAATGAGGTGAGTGTTTCAATTGATGAGAGCTTTCACAGGCTCATTCTGGGTATTGTCTTTTTGCTATTAAGAATGAACATGGCATATGCATTCTGCTGTATGCCATTTTGATTATTTTGTTCGTTTAAAAGTGTCCTTGCACTCCTGCACTCACTAGGGAGTAAAACCTTAATGAATCTTATTTCTGAATAAATATAAGATTGCATTGTTAGTAGTGGTTTACTCTGTTCAGTCCTTTCTAAAACACTCATGCAAACTTTTAAAAATACTTTTCTTCTTATGGATAATTAATTTCCTAGCTGTTTCCTACAGTGTTGGGATGCTTGTGCAGACATAATTTAATTCAGAGATGGACAATGCATCCAGATCTTGTTGGACTATAATTCCCATTATCCCTAGGCTTGTCACATGTTACTGTCCCTGCAATAAAGTATTACAAATAGCAGTACACCTTTGGACTTAGAGATGGGATATTATTCTTCTGGTACCAGACTGGACTTAGAGTAGGTACTGAGCTAAATATAAATGTGTGTTCTAAATGAGGTAGCATAGTTCTTCATGTATGGAAAAGAATCAGGCAAGGATGAGTATTTGTTCTATCAGAGGAAAAGTTTCAGGGATGCATTTGTACTGTGCTAAACCTGTCAGCAACATCCTTTTTGTTACATAATTATGATAGATGTGAGTATCCTTTATGTCTAGACCTGGAACCCAAAACTTTTTTTTCTACTGGGCCATTCATCCATAAGAGGGGAAAAAATTAGTCATAGTCACACATAAATAAAGTCTTTAAAGGATAGTAAACAGCTTGATCTGAAGCTTGAGTGGTGCAGGTGTAGAACAAGGTAGCTGTCCACTCACTGGATGAACACTTTCCATTCTCTCCTCTAGTAGGCTGATATTAGAAAGCCATCTGAGGAGGAGTCCCTTTAAAAATGAGGATTAGGTTGGCTGTCAGTCTGTCCTCAAGCTCACTTCAAGTATCTAGTACCCCTGTTTAATGAGGTATTTAAAGGTTGATAGAATTAAACAAAATAAGCAGATGTATTTCACAGGCTATAGGTTTCCCATCCCTCCTTTAGTAACTAAACAGTGATTAAATAGTAACTAAATATTAACTAAAGCTTTGACTCTGGAAATCTTCATTAGGACCATGTAGTTGCCATATCTGGGTACAACTTTAGCAGTAGAGGGTTGCAGCAGGGCTTGGACGTTGCAAAGCTTGCTTTCCTGTTGCAATACCCTTTGTTTAGAATGTGGTCACTCAGTTCCATTTGTATCTTAAAAATAAAGTATGTTGGGATGTTTGAAATTTTGCAGATGCTGCTAATTTTTCAAGCTCTAGAAAATATTTTGCTGCGAACAGCAAGTGATCTGTCCCATTTTCGTGTGGTGGGGATGAATATAGTAAAGAAATTGATCAACAGTTACATGAAATTAATTTATGCTGCCTTGTATTCTGAAAGTCATAGGTGAGTTCCTTGTTTGAAACAAAGCTTTGTTTGGAACCACAGTGGAATGAAATTGCTCTGGACTGTGCTTATGTTCTGTTACCAGGACTAATAAAGCACTCTTTAATTCTGATTTAGAACTACCTCATAGAAAAGCTGCGGTTGCATTCTACATAGTACATCCTATATTGAACCTGGAGACTGGATTAATAATTTCTAATTCCCTTCTGTCTCTGTCATTCTAGGAACATTTTTATTTGTGTGTAAACTTCATTACTTCATTTGGTTTCCTGGTTCATTTATATATGATGATTTTTTTATTCTTCATACATTTTGAAAAATCTAGATTAAGCAATAACTTAAAATACATAGTTCCATATTTCTGATGTTCTACTGGTGCTCGAATTATTTTCCCTGAGTTACAAAATCCAGATGGTGCACCATTTGTAGAACTGCAAATGGTGTTACTCCAAAAATCTGCTGTGTTCTGCCTTGTCATTTTCATATGATGGGTCTGTCAATTTAATAAGTTTTAACCAGAAAAAAATGTTTAGACTACAGTGTTCATTCATAAACCTTAAAGTAAAAATTCTCTCTCTCTCTCTCTCTCTCTCACACACACACACACACACACACCACACAAAGATAAACACATAAACTCATAAGCTTTGGACATATCACAATATCCATGGCATAAAGCAAAAAAAAACAAAACAAAAACCTGTGGGGTTGTTAAATTGTGGCAATTATGGATCGTGTTCCAAAGAGCAGTGGGCTTTACTTTTTCAAACTTCAGTCCTAAACAGCTTTTATCAAATCTGTTATGATGTACTGCGAAAGCTTTAGGTTGTGATAGCCAGGATGCTTTCATTGCATGCATATCCATCCATCCATCCATCCATCCATCCATCCATCCATCCATCCATCCATCCTTCTTCCTGTTAAATTGTTTGGGGCATATTTTAAATGTAGAAGATAAATATTCCAGTTCATTTACCCAGTAACTGAATATTAACTTTACCAATGCTGTTGGGGAGTTACAATTTTTCTATGTTATTATTTAAACTGGGCACCTAACTGGTATATGTGTTTTCATCTTATACAGTATGTACTCTTTGGAGGGCAATACGTCTTTTCATTGCTTTTGTGGTTAGCATATGCTTACATTTATACATGTAAAATAACAGGAAATCTAGTTTGCTGTAGTTAAGTTTCCTTGAAATTTTCTGGGGCTGGTTGGCGAAAAGTGATGTAAAGTTTTGTATTGCTTTGCAAAATTTTGAATTGCTAATAGTAATGCTTATTTAAACTTATAGTCATTAGGAGCATACATGAGAAGATTAATACTTTATTATACAATAAATTAAAGTACTTGTTTAGATTGACTATGAATGATATTAGGCATCTGCTGCATTAGCTAACTAAATTGAACAAACACTTTCATTTCAAAGGTGTCTATTCTCACGTTTTATTTTTTCATTTATTAGTTTGTTTGCCTATTTGTTGCTTAAACATTGCTTCCTGTTCTGACTATCTCTTTTTACAGAATGTCTCGTCTGTGTCTAACTTTACTATCAGCTATGGTGACACAGGGACCAGATGCTGCAAGAGATGTCTATAGCCACTTTGACTTCAATAATAAATTCCTATCTAATTTAGTGAAGAAGAGAGACTATAAGGTAAGAGAGCAAAAAAGTCAGTCATGAGGGTTAAGTGATGGCTTATGCTTTTTCCCTTTATTTTCAAAGTATAGCTGGGGTTAAAAATAAAAGCTCATGTTTTTATTTATGAGACTAGTACTGTTGTTTCTTTTTTTTTAATCATAGTCAGTCACCCATATGCAGCTCATAAGAAAGGAACTCGTGGTCCTCCACCTGATTTATTACATTCAATTTTTTACAATATAGCATTTGTACAAAATAGCCCCCTTGTTTAAAAAAAAAAGTTGACAGCTACCAATTTGAGAAAAATCTTATTTTTTTTAATGCAGGGGCTAGTTCACATAAAAGCCCTTTAAAGTAAAAAGATAATGAAGCAAAATAATGATGAGATTTTCACAGCAAACCTATGGACACATGTTAATTCAGCCTCTGCATTCAGCTTTTTAGAAGAAGTACACAATAGATTTTTGAAAAATGCCATGCTTGTCTGGAGAGATCACACGTTTGAAGTAAATACTGTGAAAAGCTACCACTTCTAGAAAAAAAGTTTAATCATATTCTTGATATGCTAGTTTTCTGTATGAGGCAGAATTTTGTTCTAAATTGGTTGTCCCCAACCTTCGGCCATCTTGATTGAGGGTTATGAGTATTGAAGTCCAACTTAATTGGATGATAGGCAATTAGAGAAGGTTGATTTAATACACATCATGCTTGAATCCTTGGGTGTTGTGTTACTTGAGTTTTATATATGCATAATAGGCAACCAGAATAGTAGAAACGTTTACATATCTAAACCATTGGGGGCTCATTGCCAAGACCATGATTACCAGACTGATACAGATGTAAGATCCTGATGAGTACGAAACAAGAAAATCAAGGCACTTTATGAAATGTACAATAGACATACAAATATTTTTAACAGTTAATACATTGGTAACTATATGCTTAAATCTGCAAATACATGTTAGATGTTTATGTAGGATCCCATTTTTAAACCACTGTAATCTTGTGGCATTTAAGCTTCTCATATATACTGAACATCTCTTAATATTTATTTAGGGTAAGCCTGATATCCGTACAGCATACATTCAATATGCCCTTTCCTTTTTAATTGCTGGGGACCACTCAATCCTTGTGCAAGTTCTGGAGTTAAAAGGTATTTTACAAGTATTCTTAAGGGTCTTCCTAAATTATTTGTTGTATGAATGAAGTGGGAAGGATATCTATAACTGGATCTCATGATGCCTGGACCAAAGCTTTGGACAATCTTTGCTCATTTCCATGTGTTCTTGTTTTCTTTTCCCAACAACAAATACAAGTATATAATGGAAAAGCTCTGGAGAGCCTCTGTTGCTACTAAATTGGTAGGCTTGGGGTTCTGGGTCAAGCACTGATGCCATTTAATAAAAGAAGTAGGGTTCCTTTAACTAGAGAGTGTACTAAGAGCCAGGTGAGCACCTGCCCAAGAATTGTAAATATTTCTGTAAGACACTATGGAATTAGTTCACAATATCAACTTTCTCTTTGCTGTGTTACACGGTCACAGTTTTCTTTGAATCTATCTATCTATCTATCTATCTATCTATCTATCTATCTATCTATCTATCTATCTATC